GGGGGCGGGCGCGGGGGCCCCCGCGAGGGGGGGGGGGGGGGGGGGGGGGGCACCATGTTCCACCTGGAAAATGGCAGCCATGCCCCATGTTCTGCCTGCAAAAGCAGGGGGCAGCCTCAAATTCAATAGATCCCTATACATACAACTCCTGAAGACAAACTGTAAGCCAGGAAGCTGCTACCCTTTGTGGTAAGTTGTTACACAGAATGTGCTTACATCAGAGAAGTCTAAGCATTCAGAAAACTAGTGTGTGGCATCCATGTCCCAGTCAGGATGCAGGAGGAGGGATCTGCAAGTCTCAACTGAGATTCCAGCTGAGGCAGTGCCTGAACTCTGTTCAGGCTCAGGAAGTTTAAAAGCACACAGGAAATTCACTGGCTGGATTCCCTGATAACAGGCTGGCAACCTGTAAGAAGGGTTGGAAGAAGACATCCAATACTCAGTTGCATGTCACCTCACTAGAGGGGAGAGCAGTCTCACCCGTGCCCACGATCCTTGAGTCAGCAAAGTGCTTGGCCAAAATGGCAGCAAGGCGTGTAAGAGTCTCTTCATAGCCTGCAAGGGAAGGGATCAGACAGTTAGGAAGGGGACAGCCTGTTAGCAGTCACTAGAAGGTCACAGGCACAGTCCCAAGCACCTGGCTGCAGACTGGGCCACAGGATTCATCCTTGCTGTGGAACTAAGCTTTCACTGAATGTTACTTGCAGGTCTTGGCCTTGTAGTGCAGAAAGAATTGTGAAAGTGTGATACAAATTACAGATGGAACACTGCCTGATTTGAGACCCAAGCTGCTTCGACAAAGCAGTGGCCAAGACCCCATGCAACAAAATGCTCAAAGAGCCAGCCACAAAAATAAGTGACATTTTCAACAGCAAGCTGGGTATGTATTGTGTGTGGAAATGCTTGGGAAAGATACTTCATAGAACAAATTGCCCTGAAATCCTCTACCAACACTAAGTCTGGCCATAGGAAGTTTCAGAACAGTAGGCTGGGTCTGAGACTCCCAGCATAGCACATTTTCCCTCATCTGGATCTTTAGGTTGGCAAACATAATGGATAAACCTGCAGCAGCACAATTAACTGCCCTGAGCATGCACGCTCACGGGGGATGGTTAGAAGCAATCAGGAAGTAGTGTCAACTACCTTGACACTATACAAAGTAATAGAGAACATTTGGCTGTGTGTAACCATGCTGAACAACTGGATATCAGCACTGCCTACCTTCAGAAGATTCAATTGCACCTTTGTATGGGACCAGGGTGCTCACAGGCTGATATGACAAGAGGATCCATATTGCTCAGCAAGGCAGACAAACTTGTAAGCTCCTTAAAACATCTAGTTCACACAATGCCAAGCTGCGAATGTTTTTTTTTTTTATACAGTAGCAGTCCCAGACCCCACTCTTGATGCAGGCATCACTGTGCCTGGAACTGTGCAGGAATACACCCACATACACATACTCTCTCTATCCTGGAGAGCTAAGTCCAGTCTGTTGTTCCCACAAATACTTGTTACCAAACAACAGTCAACTGCTTGATACTTGGTTCTATCAAGAGCAGGTTTCCCAAGGCCAGCAGAGCCCTTGCCCCTACATGCAAAACAACCATCACACTTCCTCCTGCCATGAAGAAAGCACTTCCCATCTTTCCCTGTTCCTAAATAGTTAAGGAGATTTTGCACAACTCAACAGAACAATTTACCATCCTGCCCTGAAAAGGAGAATGTGGGCACAGGGCCAGACTGAATGCTGGAGCAGACATGGGCCCATACCAGCTCCCACAGGTCCAAGTCTCACTATCAACCAGAAGATAGCTAGCAATGAAAGCAGGACCCTATCACACAGGATTGTGGATGCAAGAAGCTGGAATACCTGCCTGGTTAGCTGACCTGCCTCTTCATATTTGTCTGGGTCAAGGACTCCATGGTTTCTAGGTTCACCAGCTGAATACCATCCATCAACACCACCTAATTACCAGGGCTGTAGAGCCAGGCCTTTGGCTCACATGGCTGCTGCAGCACAGAAGTGGAATGAATGAGGGTAAGGAGGCCACTCCTGATGGGATTATGCATGGGGAGCAGAGACAAAGTCAAGTAAAACATCAAGCAGACAGGTCATTTGCAGGGCCATTTGTTGTCTAGAACATCCACTGTACAATCTGCTAGCACCACAGAAAAAACACATAGATAAAAAACATGGCTGGGGAGAAACCCAGGGTAACAACAGAAAGTCAGTGACACCCCCACCCACCTGAAGGGTAGGCAAGAAACAAGAAATACTGCCTTTGTTAATGATTTGGAAGATAAGATTGAGGGCACATTTAGCAAAACTGCAGAGGGTACTAAGCTAGATGGAGCTCCAGACACCCTGAAGGATTCAGAATGACCCTGATAAACTGGAGAAATGGTCCAAAATTAAACATATGAAGTTTAATAAAGACAAGTGCAGTGTCCTGTACTTGGGACAGAATAATCACACATACAAATATTATTATTTAGAGTTATAGCTTACCCTATCCAGAAAGTTTCAGAGCAGCTTACAATAAGAGACAACCCAAAACAACAGTAGACTCCCCAAACAACACCCCAAAACATGAGAATTCCAGCCCACATTCTCCCCACTACCAAATCCCTGCTTATCTTCCATAAGAGCAAACTATCCAGTCAATCCCAATTGTGCAGCCCAGAGCCCCAACCCCCTCACCTGGGAGCTCCTCCATGCTGTTGACAGGGCTGAAGTAGTTTTTCAGTGCACTGTAGCTATTCATAGCCACACTCAGGTAGAATTCTGGCATGAAGGCAAAAAGTGAGCCTGTCCTGTCACCATGCTCGATGGTGCGGATGCACACACGAAGTAGCCAGTATATATCCTGCATCTTCTCCTGGCCAGAGAAGAATACAGCCATGCTTCAGTCAGTTCCTACTCCAGGGAGCAGAAAAGGCTTATTCATTGAAACACACACACCCCCGCACCTCCCTCAGGACTTTACCCAGGGCCCTGGATCTAAGATCAGTCCCTTGTACAGACCCCTGGGTTTTCAGAATTTTCTTGTATACACCTGTTGCAAATTCTCACAATTCTGGGGTAAACACATGATGGGAACTATCTCTGGCCACCACCTTCACTCCTAAAGTACGTGTTGCTGCAGAAAGAAAGGAGTATATCAAACTATGTTAGAGGGTGTCAGAAAAAGTTCCCTTTCGCAACATGAAACGCTGGCAGCTTTTTATGTAAATTAGGAGCCTGTCTAATTTCTGCTTCTTAGAATGAATCAAATAAAAGAGAACTAAGAGCATAAATAAATCCCTCAACACACAAGGGATCCTGTTCTTTCAGTGGCTGTATCAATGAGTGATCTCAGTTAACCTCATCCAGGAAATATAGGGCACTTATACACATGCTCCAGGAGTGAAGGGTGAGGGGAGGGAGGAAATGGCAATGCCTGGAGCATCTCGTGTATCAGTGTCCCTGCACTCAAAAAAGGCAGCAGGAGCACTTTAAATAAAGCTCATAGATGAAGCTTTAGTTACAGCACTCCACTGCCATTTTTCACCACAGGGACTCTGACGAGATGCTGGAGTCTACTAGAGCATGGTAATCATGCTCCAGCAGACTCGATTAATCAAGTTTGCTTCAACACACTGTAATTACAGTGAATCGGAGTAGCCTCACTGCTCATGTGCAGGTACAGATGGATATAACAATTGTATTGCTATCAAAGTATTCTAATACAGGCTGTGATACTACTACTTTTATGTTTGCACGATTCTGTAGCAATATATGAGCAACAAAAGTGCACCAACTTTAACCCTTCATTCAGGGTCAGAGAAAAGGTAATTCAGCTCACTTGTATGACTACAGGATCATGTCAATGTAACCCTCCATAACCTTTACAGTCTAACAGCTGCTGCACATTCCTGAGCAGCAGTTCCCAATCCCCTTTTTAAAGTGGCTAAAGGTATGTTTGTCCACTCCCTTACTAGGGTGGTTTTTCTGTAATTTACAGCAAACGGTGCAGGTCACAAACTAAAGAACTTTCTCTAAGGATCTCTCTTTAAGAAAATAACACACATTTCAGTTTACCAGTTAATTTGAGGGATAAAAATCTTTTTATACCGCATTAAGATTGGAGAAGTCACATCTGAATCTTTTAAAACATGTTGACCTCAGAAAGTTACTCCAAGGGCTGCTAAACTGGACTGAAAGCTCAGTCCAATATCATTAAAACAAAACAAACAGAAAAAGCCCCCAAAATGAAAACTATAAGCAACCAATTTCCTCCCTCCTTTCACCAGGTAATTCAGGGCTATAAAGGCAAGATTCTACTTTAGCATTAAAATAGGATTCACAAAGAGACTTTTAGTTCGGTCTGTTTACCCTGATTTATTATTAATACTATTATTATTTTTTATTATGACATCACTCTCCTCCCAAAACTAAACCCACTGGCCTTGAACAGTCTCTTTGCTAACTTCTTTCAGCAGAGACCCAGGCAAGCCCCTGCTCAGGAGTCCTGTGCCTGTGGACCAAGTTCCAGTGAGGGTCATCCAAGTCAGAACCCCGATGTCTGAATATCTGGCCTGAGTGAGAAGAACAGGACCAATCTAGGCAGACAGCAAAGCCCGTCTCTACTTGTACTGGCACCGAATGCAGATTACAGCCGCTCCTAGAGCTACAGCCAGCACCTCCAGGTTTTTGGAGCAAAACTGGAGCCATCAGGGAGGGTTATGTAGAAAGCATTACATCTTGAATAAAATGAGAGACTCCTGGAAAGAACTGGGAGGATGAGGCTATATAAGGACACCACCTTGAAATGCATGCAGCACAGATAAAACATCCTGCTGCATCTCTGCAATCACTCTCCAGCAAACACATCTAGCTGCTGCAGTCCAACTGGGCAGAAGCCCCCGTCTCCCTCTGGGACCAGCAAAAGACTGAAGGAGGCCACCAAGCAAGAGGACTAGTAGTATTCTGCTCCCAGGCACCGCTGTCTGCTCCACGAAGACCGGGCTTTCCAATCCTGCTGGGAAGCAGGGGAACTTCATAGACAAGGCATAGCAAAGAAATTTAGAGATCTGGGTTCAGTTGCCAAATCCATGTAAGCATGAGCCACGTAATGTCCATGCTTCCTGTATGTAAATAGGAATATTGTTTCCCTGCCTCCCAGTAGCATGTGAGGTCTTAGGCAAACTTCTAGCCAAGCATCTATAAGGTCATCCAGTGGCATAAATTAATGAGAACTAAACACTGGAACGAGCCAGTAGAGCCAGGGGAACCTAGGAGCTAAAAGGAAGAACTGCTGAGCAAGATAACTCGCATCCCCTTCCACCAGCCACAGCACAACTCCATGCAGTTAGGTTCAAGGACTAGCTGCTTCTCTCTCTACCTTCATTCCTTCCTTGAATGGCTTCTAGAGGGTCCTCATCTTCCCTCCTTTTCCCCTTGGTGTCATCACACCTCAGGGGAAGAAAAGAACATTCCCCTTCTCCAAGGGTTAATACACAAAGAGAGGAGAAAGAAGAGAGCTCTCTCGTGCACTCTGGAAAGATCTATAAGCAGACTTATAGAATCATAGAAAGCTAGAGATGGAAGGGACCACCAGAGGTCATCTAGTCCAACCTCCTGAACAAGGCAGGATCATCCCCAGCTAAACTGTCCCATAAAAGTCTCTCTCTAACCTATTCTTAAAACTATACAATCTACCCTGTTGCACAACTACAAGGCACACTGCAGAAAGGCAATGCAAACACCCTAACCTGCCACAGGTAAAGCAGCGAGACAAAGGCTGTCAGTGCCCCACTGCAGCAAGAGTTGTTAAAATGCCCTTGAGAGACCCAAGGGAGAAAGCTATGTTCTCCCCCACTGCAGTAGAGAAAGGCAAAATAACACCACAGACTATCAGGGATGCCCCCAAGATTGTGTCATCCAGCCCATGGGACTCCCAATGGATCTGTGGAGAGCCCCTCAGCTGAAGCCCTGCACACTAGATCTGGAGCACATGGCACTGCAGAGCCTGATCTTGGCACAAGGAGGCTCAGTGAGGGCAGTGCAGGGCCCCTGGAGCCCAATCCCAGCCAGGCAGGGGCTGGGAAGAGGCAGGATGGGGCCTAATCCCAACATGTGGGTGCAGCAAGGGGCCTGATCCAGCCTGTGGACCAGCCCCACACCATTCATCTGGTTTGCAGAGCCAAAACTATGAGCACCACTATATCAATCTGACCATGGACTGAAATCCTTTCCCAATTCAAAATGTAGTAATCAGTTTAACCCGGAGCAAGACATTCTAACCAGAAGCCTCGAAGAGTTTAGTCCCAGCAAGAATACTGGCATATCACAGTCACAAATCTCCAGCCCTAGCTACAACCAACACAATTCTTCTGAGAGAGCTAGCAAGAAAAACCCTTGACACCTAGGGTGGTCATCATACAGGACAGTCTGGTTGTCCTCTATTGATATGAACCCGGTTGCCTTTATGTCCTCTATTTTTCTCTTGAGTAGCAAAAAACCAGAATGTCCTCTATGATGTCCCCCTTTTGACACCTGTAGCAACAGGAGAGAAAAATATTCCTTCTCTGCCGCAAGTGGGAATCAGCAAAGCCAAGAAGCATGGGAAAAACCAAACTCTCTTATCCTGCTTTAAGACCTCAGAACAGCAACCATGACTCCATACTTCATACCCTCAGACTGAATGGCCAGAACTCCCCTTTATGTATCCTCTCCACCAAGACTCTTAGAGCTTTCGCCATAGTGCTGCCACTTAGCCAGGTGTCTCTCATTTGAGATTTGTATTTTTGATTAATTTTTCAAGGTATAGCACCTTGCATTTGTCAATAATGAACTTCATCCTGCTGACTCTAGCCCAATTTTCTAATCTATCATGATTGCTTTTGAACTGTGCTCCTGTCCTCCAATGTGTTCAAAAACCATCCTAGCTTTGTTTACAAATTTGTTCAAGCAGCTCCCCATTCCAGCATCTAAATAATGAATAAACAAGTTGAACAGTACCAGGCCCAGGACAGACAACCGTGGACTTGAAACCTCCTGCCATTCATACATTTGTTATTACATTTCACTTGCAGCTTCTGAACCAGTTGTCTATACACTTTGTTGTCATTTTTCCTAGTCTACATTTCCAATTTGTTTATGATATGGTCAAGTGGGACTTTGTCAAAAGCCTTGCTGAAGTATAAATACACTATATCCACATTCCCTTTTTCAAAAGAGTAATTAACTAGGTGGAAAGAGATCAAGTTTGTTTGGGCATGATCTGTTTGTCAATCCATGCTAGCTGCAAATGGGCTTCCCTATGGCATGCTCCAGCAATACTACTGAGGTCAGGCTAACCAGTTTATAATTCCTCAGGTCCTCCTTTTTTTGCCTTTTCTGAAGGGCACTAAATTGGCCCTTTTACAGTCTCCCACTGCCCCACCTGTCTCCTACAATGTGGTAAAAATTATTGCCAAGAACTCCAAAATCTTCTCTGTCAGTTCCTTTATTACCTGGGGATTAAGTTCATCAAGACTGATCAAAACCTCTAACTCCTACACTGACGTTCAATGCAGACAAATTCAAGGTACTACACCTCAAGAGGAATAATTAAAAACACCAATATAAAATGGGTGACATCTGTCTGGATGGCAACACTATGGAAAAGGACTTGGGAGTCTTCGTAGATCACAGACTCAATATGAGTCTGATGCATGATGAAGCCGCACAAAAAGTGAATGCAGTTTTGGGATGCATTAGGTGCAAGATACAGAAGGTGATAGTGCCTTTCTACTTGGCACTGATTAGGTCTCATCTAGAGTACTGTGTGAAGTTCTGGGCTTCACATTTTTAAAAGCATGTGGAAAAGTTTGAAGGTCCACAGGCAGGCAAAAA